AGAGTGTCCCATAAGAGTGCCCGACAAGAGTGTCCTACAAGAGTGTCCCACGAGAGTGTCCTACAAGAGTGTCCCACAAGAGTGTCCTACAAGAGTGCCTTTCAGGAGTGTCCCACAAGAGTGTCCTGTAAGAGTGTTCCACAAGAGTGTCCTACAAGAGTGACCCACAAGAGTATCCTACAAGAGTGTCCCAGAAGAGTGTCCCACAAGAGTGTCCTACAAGAGTGTCATTTGGACATATGTAGCTTTTCGAACGTGTTTGCATTCGGGTTCGTGGGCTCCATCTTGTTTAGTTTTAGTTGTTTTTTTTGGGGAGGTGTGTTTTTAAATGTGTAAACTACTCAGCCCTTTTTGATGCCAGGCAGCCTGAGTTAAACCGCCTGAATTTTAGGATATGACATCACTGATATTCACTGATTCAATACTGATCCCAGGACCTGACAATGTTTGATCAATTCCTTTGCACGCAGCGAGACAAAGAGAGAGGGAGAGAGGGAGACAGACAAACAGACAGACAGACAGACAGACAAACAGACAGAAAGACAAACAAACAGAAAGACAGAAAGACAGAACGAAAGAAAGAAAGATAAACAAACAGAAGGAAGGAAGGAAAGAAAGAAAGAGAGAGACAAAGAGAGATGGATAGCAAAAGCGTGTGGTCCGAAGGCTTCCAATATAGAAGCAAGGCAAACTCCTGTCTAAACCGGGCACTGGTCTGGTGACTGGACCTAAGACCGCTGCCCATGACAAGGGCTGTGGCAACCAGCCTTAGAAGGCCATGGAACAAATTGTCGCATTCGGTTAAAAAGCAAACCTCGGGTACTACATTCGATCGTGAGAAGGAGATGAAATCAGTGGAAATCTACACAATGTCGATAGTACCAGCTTGCTGTTTGATGCAAGGCCTTTAGAAAGCCTGTGCCCACACAACATAGACAAGCCTGACGGTGTTCCAAGTTCTAGTTTCAACACCAAAGATGTGTCCTTCAGGTTTGCGTGAAGAAACTAAGCTCCCACGCACTGTCTTCATCCCAACACTAGACTCCGAGCCAAATTCCTTGACACACAAGTGCCTCTGTGCCTCTTTCTTGTGAAGAAGCCAGAAGCAGGCATAGCCTAAAGTTTCCAATATTTCCTTTCAAGCATTCACATGACATAGGTTCAATGCAAAATCACAATATTGGCGATGCCTCATCGTAGACCACCTCTGGTGGGTGATCTGCAGCACCCTCAGCAAAAATGGCTGGTATGAAAACATCAAGAGCACTCATGCCCTTTCAAGGTGGTCAATGAGGCTGTGAATGGATGCGCAAGCCTCAACTGGCTAGCACAGGCATGCGTTCGATTCTAGCGAATCCGAATCAACTAAAGTCCCGTGCACACAATTTCCATTAATGAACAAGCAACATCAAAGCGGCGCTACGAGCCTGCGGCCTTATACGGCGCTGGAGGATCAATCTCATCTCATCCCACACAATGGACTGAGCTTCCTTGCTTGGCCCATCGCACCTCCTTGCCACACCTGTTCAAAGACGTGTTGAAATCGAGCTCTCCAAAGATCAGGCTTGTGGACCGTGATGCAAACGGCACTTCCAGGGTCTTCTTGTGCGTATACTTATATATAACATGAATTATATAGATACGTATGATTGCGTATGCTTGTCTTCGGTGGACTTTGAGGGGTGGGGAAGCAGCAGGGCAGTGGCAGAGCAAGCGCAATTCACCGTGTTGCTGCAACTTATACAAAATTTTATCAGGGTGACGAGGCTTCCGAAGAAGTTGTCCAGTGACACTAAAACGTGCTAAGAGACACTGACAAACTGCATGCAATTATATTATAAAAAATATGTTTTAAGCAAAACTTACAAGGCCAAACCCTTGGTCTGTGATGTCTGTGAATCTGTAAGCACATAATTACCGTTTCTATGGTCATCATGTCTGTGCAGCTTTGGAATTGGGAACCTGTCAGCCAAGCCACCAAGACAGAACTGCTTGGGCCAAGAAAGTAAGCAAACCCAAGCAAGTGGGTTTCTGGAATTGGGAATGAGCATACTGGAAGCTTTCAAACACTGTACTTCAACTATAGTCAAAAATGGTCCAACAGCGACGCTGCCACAGTGTGAAAAATTGGAGGGGCGCATCTATCATGACATCATGTCATCAGCTGTTCTGCCTCATTGGGTGGAACTTGGCCAGCACCATCCTTCGTTCGCTTGGGCAACAAATTAAATAGAAATCCAAAGCAACTCTTTATGTTTGATTCCATTGACAAGTGACACGAGTGACATCTACTATGGTCCACCCGAACCTGTCAACCTCCTGGAAATATTATCTTGAACTTCTTGAACTGTTCCACGTTGGAAAATGATGGAAAATGTAATCGTTGACAAGTTGGAATGCGTTCAAGAGCTAATCGTCCTCATTGAACTGTTCGACTCCATTTTCTCCTTCCAAAGCCTGATGAAACTGCTCTCGACTCAAGATCCAAGTCTGAGGACTCTGTGATGAATGAAACATCCAAAGAACTGGTAGACTTTGAATGAAGGAACTCACGTGCTCAGTGCAAGCGGCAAAAAGTACTATATATATATAATATATATATATATATATCACTGTGCATGTAGAAGTGCACAAACGCGGGCTGGCTTGCTAGTACATGTTCTGGAGACAGTGCCAAGAATCAAGTGCAAGCAGTTGAGTCTCTAGAAACAAAAGAAAAAAACATAGGACCCAATCAAAATGTCGTTTTTTTTGATCTTATTTATCATCAACCGCCTCGATTGAGCCTCCCTCTGCATCCTCCTGGGCCATCTCTGCTTCACCTTGGCAGAAAAATCTGTAGGGACCAACCCCCATGACTTGGTAGTAAGTAACTCTAGTTCCTCCCCTTGCTTCCGTCTAGATCTAGCAAAACAAGCTCCGGCAAGCCATTTGGAGGTTGAGCGAAAGAGAAATCGTTGGCCATCCGATTCTTCCACAGCAGTTCACGCCACAAGAAGGTGCCGAGGGCGTTGCGGCGGCTTTGAAAGCAGTCGCAAAAAATCTGCTAGATTAAATAGCTTAGAAGTGATGCGCTTTACAAAACTTTCAAGAATTGATATGTGTTTGGACTCCACGTTGGCGATGCCGGCAATGCCGGCCGGCAGAGACCGCATTATCGACATCGCGGGGGCATGTGCAACCCGGTGGTTACTGCATTATTGACATCGTGGGTGTGTTCGGCCGTGTCCTGCCCGCAGACTGACAGACCGAGATGGGCAGACCGAGACAGACACACCAAGACAGACGGACCGAGACAGATAGACCGAGACAGACCGACCGAGACAGACTGACCGAAACAAACAGACCGAGACAGACAGGCCGAGACCGAGACCGAAACAAACAGACCGAGACCGAGACAGAACCCTCTGTGAAAAGGCTGGTGATTAGATAGGGCCATAGCGAAACGCTTCTTCACGCTTGAGCCCGGTTAACATTTCCTCCTGGCTCCGAAAGCACAAGTTGCTAGTTCCCGGCTCCGCGAGCGCAGGTTGCTGCCGTGCCGGTAGGGTGCTAATGACACACTTTTCCCATGTATGTCTGGATGTATGTACGCATGTATGTATGTCTGTATGCATGGATGGATGTCTATGTCTGTCCGTGTGTGTCTGTTTTCCCTTTTCCCTTTACTCTGTGCGGGCGGCTTCGACCGCAAAGCGGTGTGAATAACAAGCAGTTGCACGTACAGTCGAATAGAACGTCTTGGGCAGGCCAACAAATCTTGATTCTAGTCTCAACGCTGGGCCTGTCCAACTCATCCATCTCATCTCAAGGCCCCAGAAAATCCCCTTGGCTGCGACACGGTTTGCCAGATCTTCTGGTGATGCCTGCCAAACAAGAGAAGGATGTCAAACAGAAGCAACATTCATTGATGACTTGCAAGTTCACAGGACGGGATGCTATTCTGCCACCCACCCTGCAATGTGCCATCTAAAAGCAGTACAAGGACTGAGATAGACTGAGCCTACATCTCTGCATGCTGCTGCAGCCAACCCTCTCCCCCAAAGAAAAGGTAGAATTCAACATGTTCATATTATAGGTTGATGTACCTGTAGATATCAAGATGATCAAGCAAATAACTATATCTAAACCTGCAAACAACTGCTTCGTGATTGCTCAGCCATGCCGGCCATGCCGGGCCTCTTCAACTGCGAAGCCCAACCTGGAATTCTCAAAGTCAAAGGCCACGAGGTGCCTCGCACTCTTAAATGTTCACAATGGCTTTCAAGAGCAAACATCCGCTTGGCAGGCCAAAGTTCTGCTTCTGAAACATAGGATTGTGTAATGATTCTATGGATTTTATATCCTTGAAGCAAAGTACATCGATCAAAGCAACCTCTTCGATATGTCCAATGAGAAAGAATGACCAGGCCTTCTGAGGAAGACGTCTCCAAGTACCCAAAGGTCTTCATCTCGCAGCTTGGGCAGCTTGGTGGCTAATGCCCATGAGTTTGAGATCATAACATATTAATATATATATATAAATATGCAATATAGTGCCCCATTTTGCTGACAGGCAAGAGGTCAGGAGGGCATAAATGCCATGCAAAGCGCAGGCACACAATGAGAAACCGTAACTGCTGGGTTTGCAGCTCGACACATTCCCAACATTCCAAAAGTTAAAAAGGTAGTGACTCAGGCAGTGCCCTTGGAGATATTACCTGATCTGAGGCTGGTTCGACCTGGTTTGGGCATGTGCTTCAGACTGAGGACCAGTTTTGTAGGGATCAACAAAAATATTGGACCCGATGGTGTCGCACTGCTTCTCAACTTCTCCACTGGTCCCGCAGGCATTGTTTTTGTTTTAGCAATTTTAGCCTAGCGAAGGGGCCATTTTTGCAGCTAGTCAACCCTTTGACTGTAGTTCTTTGAGGGTGCAGAAAGCAACATTGGCCGTGACGTGACCTTTGGTTGGAACTCGTCTCGACAGCCGTTTTTATGGCCACAAAGCCAATTAAGTTGACCTAATGAGAGTGTTCGGCTCACACCACTCCAGACGAAGCGTTTTTGTTGATTTGGTTCGATCTTATCGATCTTAAGCAAGTTTGCAACAAACAGTACTCACTTACAGTCCATTTGTTTTTTGCGAAGCGTGTCGCCTTGCAAGTATTAGCGGTGGATTTGAAGGCAGGGCCAAAAACCATTGCACGTACTTTGTAAGGGAGTCTGTGGAATACGGAATACTGTGAAATAGTGGGGATCCGTACATTTTTGTTTTTGACGCTTTGGAAACGGGACGTCGAACGTTTTGAAAGCGACACTTCGCCATCTAGCACCCACCAGAAGACGAATGGGTACTTTACCAAAAGCTCGTGACACAATCGCGCACCCGTCACGCTGCCTTCCCCCCTCGCCAAAGTGGGTTGGAAAAGATTGGAAAAGGTTGGTCCTCTATCAAATCTGAAGTTGGAACCCCATGTACTGTACAAGTGCAGAGATAAATGAGAGTACCCTCAATGGTACCACAACTCTGCTGAAACACAAGTGAGAATCGGTAAAAAGGTGAAGCCAAAATCATGTTGGCTCACAATTCGGAGCATTCATCGGGGGAAACGAATTGAGCATAAAGGTTTCTTGCGACATGCTGCTCGTTTGACAATTACGTGTAGCTTTTCAGGAGCTATCTGATCAAGATCATCCAGATGTTGAAGAGCAAGAATCGGCAGGGGATCTGGCAAGAGTGCTATTAGCGTAGAATGGTGCCTGGATCCCTGGTGTTGTTCTGGTACTATTGCAACAATGGTTAAATTATGTTAAATTTATGCATATTTATGCTCTTTATGTTGGCCAGGAACGACAGGGAGACACATGGGGACATGAGCGTGCAAGAAACCAAGGCGTCTTACACTTGTAGCCGCTTGAGCAGGCATATGCTTCATAAAGATTTGCAGAGATACTTCGGAGACTCCTCCATGCTTGGGCTTGTCAGGATCTCTTGTCTGGGGGCTGAAGCTGTAACTGTACTTCCTGGAATGGAGATGGAAAAGGTCGTTTACCATTAGGCGTGGGAAGGAACACTGGCAAAACCTTGGAACCATGTACATAATACCCCGGAAAATATCTTGTGACGGTTCATTATTAACACTGTCCGGGTGAGGCCACTGGAATAAGGTTGTTGGTTTTCTGAAACAGTTACGTAGGCTACCCCGCATCGCCGGCTCCCCGAACCGTTACGCTACCAAAGTTGGTCATTGAACTGCTTCTTGCCGGAGTTTGTTGCACCCAGGCGGCCTCCCTGAAGACGTCGACTCTGTAATTGTGCTCTAGCTTCAGCATCAGCACGGACGGCCTGTGGCATGCTACATGCCCAGGAATCTTCTCGATGGTGTTATACAAAATGTTTCCTCTTGAGGACGTGTTTACTCCTGATTTCTGTACATAAGGTTGATGGAATAGATACAGTATACTGTGCAGATTGGAATTCTGTGTAAAGAGCTTGTTTGCCCGTTTAAGTATGTTCAAGTAAGTTCATGAAATTTGTACGTCCCAAGCTTCCACATTAGTGCAGTCTGCGCTGCGAGCCTGTAGTCTTCGTCGTTTCTTGCAGTGACCAGGCCTCTAAAAGGCATGTCAGCTCTTCCATCTCTCTCAAAATATATTTCTTTCAGAGTTCCAACAGCACCTCTTGCCCTCCCTCCCTCCCTCCCTCCCTCCTTCCCTCCCTCCCTCTTGCTGGCGGGTTTTTTGGATGTTGCTGTGGCTCAAAATTGTATGTTGCACATTACGGATGCACCATTAGAGTGTTGAACGACAACCAAAACGAACAAGTTGTATCGTCTGCTGCTCTTTGACTGCATGCATACATGCTGCATAGTTGTACTAGTGTCACTTTATACCCATCACTGATGAACAAAAACTAGACGACAGGGTGGCCCGAAAGCAAGTAGGCGGAAGAGAACAAATAGAAGGGAAGAAAAGCGAAGTAACAGAAGATGAATGAGCACTAAAGAAATGAAGAGATGATATATGATGATTCAAAACATTAAGATGAAACAAAATGAGATGATGATGAGATGACACAATATATAATATATATATATCTATATATATATACATTATGATTATGATACTATTATCACGTTATTACCAAATCTATTAATGTATATTCTGTTGCACTGTACTTCGGAGCCCAAACGGTAGTCCCGGTCGATTCTTTTTTATCCAGCGCCGGTCGAGCTCAAACGCTAGTCCCGGTAGTAAGAGCCGCCGAAGTGTGCGAAATCGCACGTCCCAACCTGGCATCAGGACAACCAATGCTCATACAAATGCACCACTTGAAAAACAAAACAAATTACCCACAGTTCAACTCATGTTGTTTTGTCGGTTATCAGATATAGTTGCACACCCAGTCGGAACAGGATCGACTTCGAACAACTCTCGGTCGTGGATCTCGTGCCTTGTGGAGTCTCTGCACGTTCAGCTGGAACAAGGGTCGACTTCGGACAACTTCCGGTCGTGGACCCAAGTCCTTCTAATCAGTTTGGTCACGACACTTTGCAATAGCCAATTCACAGCTTTTCGCCGATACTTGTAACTTCGTGGCTGGTGACTATATGTGGCATCGACATGCCGGCCTCCTGGAATTCCATTGCGTGGTGTCCACTTTCATTTGGTCCCACTTGTTGCCGCTCTATAACACATCGAGTCGAATTGACACACCAGCTGCTATGCACAGCTTGCGCAGCTCTTC